GGTATCATCACCACACTTCTGAAAGTAAAGAATATTCAACAGCAAGTTTATTTCAGAATAATGGACAGTCCCTTAAATTAAATTAGCTTCACGACAAACTTGTTTCCCCTTATTCGGTTTGCTAAGGTCACAGAGAAGTCACATTGTCCTGGAGACAACACAGCAGTCACTTCTGCAGTGCTGGCTCTATAGTACTTGGGTTCAAATTCTATGTCACCACTTACTAGCTACATGTGCTTTGGCAGGTTCCATTTCTCCTCGCCCATACAACAGAGAGTCACCAGGACAATCCCTGTAAGGCCTGTGGGCATAGGGTCTGGCAAAAAGTAGGTGCCTTTTCTTTGCTATCACCACATTGCTTTTCTGGACCAGCCTTGGTTCGAAAGCTGTTCTCTAGGAACCAGCAACATGTCACCTTCTTTGACCCATTAACCTCAACAAAGATTATCACGACCTTGACTTCACGGCTTTGAGGAAAACAGGACCAAAGGAATTCTCCCTCACACACACACCCCTCCAACTAAAACTGCTACGTAATGCAGCCCAGAACTGAACCTAGTTCTGCCTCCACAACACCTTGATGCTGAAGGTAACACCCGCCTTTACAACTAAGCAGAACAGGGCTTCCCAAGGAAGGTGGAAACAAACTAAACATCTTCGCTGCCAAAGAGAAACTCAGGGCAACAGAACTATTCCCAAACCTTTCAGAAAGAGGGAAAGCAGTCCTGGCACTCAATCCTCAATCCTGCGACCTGGAGACTAGCTGGTACCCCAGACTCCCTCACACCCAAGAACACGGGGGAGCCTAGCTGACTTGTCACTTCCTTTCTAATCCCCATCTACCCTCTGCCAACCTGATTTTCTATACTTCACCTGTTTATAGAGCCATAACAGGGTGCAGACAATTGTGATGTCAGCCAGAGTCACACGTTCGCCCACGAGAAAAGTCCGCGTCTTCAAGTGAGCATCCAGCAGCCCCAGAATTCGCCTCACTTCCTCCTTTGCATTCTCTGTGGCCTATTGATTTAAAATGATCAAACTCATCAATGGGTACCAATTCCACCCCCTCCAACATTCCCCACTAATAGACATAAGGTAGCTATTTCACTTTCTGAGTTCTGGCTCATCCCCACCCTCTTTCAATGGAGTCAGATTCTAAGATCATTTCAACTGTATCACAAATGAAGTTCTCAATAATAAATTTCTTCATGGTGTAGTCTGGCTTCATTCCCCACCATACTGATCGTAGTTATGTATCTTTGGATTTTAGAAGGAACCTTAGAGGTCATTTGGTCTAATTACTCTCCTACCATCTGGTATAACCTTCTAATAGCAGCAATCTCTCTTCTGACCATTCGTAACAGATACCACCTCCATTGGATCTCTCTGAAAAGAACCCAGACACCATCAATAGTCCAGAATTGCTATCGTGCTCCAAAATTGCACCCCAAAGACTAAGTCTCTCATTATCCACGTTCTTGGCATCTCCTTTTCTCAACCTACATTTCTATTCCCCAATACTCAGAAGTTGATGCCATCCCTGCCCTTGGTTGCTCCCCAAGTTCCAAGACTCACCTGCTTGTTGTGGTGCATGATGCCCAAGGTAGGGAACACCCAGGTACTGGCTGGGGGCACTATGTCGCTATCAGCAAAGCTCACCCACTGCACCACCTGGGCCGCTGCCTCTGGAGTACTTCCCCGCAGCTCCTCATTGCTCACTGCAGAGTCAGAACACAAAGGTCAGAACTCTGGGGCCATGCCAACACCGATGCCACACTGCTGAAAATTCCTCTCCTTGTCCACTCCAGCTCTCCCTCATTCTCTCCTACACTCCTCACCTGCAGACCCTCCCATTCCCACATCCGCTGCAAATTACCATAGTAGGCAATGGCATTGCTCTCAAACACACAGAATCCATCATCACCCTCAAATGCGGGAACCTGGGGACAAAGCAGTCAAAAGTAAGTAAGATACACAGTAATTTATCCCTAGTGAATCCCAGGAGCTGGACTGTTCTGGATAAGGGTTTTTACAGAAGGATGACAATCCCTGCAAGCCAAACTCCTCCTACCACTGAAACTCAGGAGCCAAAAATATTCAGTAACTTGATACCCTTTACAGCCTGAATTCACATAAGAAACCCAACACTTAGATAATCAGATTTGTATAGAATCCCTCAATCAATTAAACAAAAGGAAAGAAAGCAAGTCTTATTATCTCTGTCTATATTACTGAAAGTATTACAGTGATCTCCGCACTGCACTTGATCTCATCTAGGCTTTAGCATGGTTACTTCAATCTCTGTAAGACCCTTGGGGCAAAAATCCTGCTCATTGTAGATACCCCACTTGAACACAGTCAAAACTCACTCTTTCTCCCACAAATAGAGAAGCCTGTGAATTTTATAAAAAGTCAGATAGCTTTGTATTTCTAACTACATGTGAACCTACAATTATCTCAAAAAAGAAATTTTGCTTTTTAGTCACTGAAATGTTAAAAAATATATATATGGAAAACTCCCTTTTAAAGATAGAGATTATCTTCAGAGTGATAAATCTTAGGGTTCCTTGGGTTCTCACGACCAAAGGACCCTCTCCCTTTCCCTACTCACCTTGCCGGCAGGAAATTTACGGAGAAATTCAGGGGTGCGGTTGGTTTGGCCAAAGTGGAAGTGGGGTGGTGCGGAGAGTACGCGGACCTGAGCCCCACTGTACTGAGCAGCAATGAGGGCCTTAAAGGCCCTCCAGTTTTCAGGATATGTGTACAGGGTCTGTGGGAGGGAAGGGGGGAGCAAAATTAATGAGCAGAAGGGTCCTGGTCCTAAGTGTCACCTCCCAGGATGAATCCCCTGAGTAATCCTAATCTGTTAAACTCACTCTTTTACTCCCGCTGGTGAACTAAATTCTTTAGAATTTGTCATGTGTAATCAGACTCCTCTGAATTACTGGGGACAGAGCAGACCAACTGCTAAATAAAGCTTGTTGACAAAGATGACCTTCCCTAAGGACAGCTCTAGCAGCATTCTCTTCCCTTCAAACACATCTCCAAGAAATCCCGTAACTTGCAGCTCCCTCAGACTCCATATGCTGAGACACACACACACTCCTCCCTTCCCAGCGCCCTTGTTTCATTCATTGACGGTTACCGAGTGCCAGCCTACTCTACTGCCGAGCCACTCACCCACCTTCAAAAGCATCAACGTTGCCTCTTAAACACACACACACCGACCAAGACACTTCCAAGTTCTCCTCAAAATACCACGGAGATGCCGAATGGCAATTTCTTTTCCTAAATCAACTCGGTTTCCCAAAATACCTTTCTCTCCCTGTCACGCATACCATTCCTCCAGTTCTGCCCGCACCGAGTTCCTTGCCGCTGCCTTCTCCCCTTCTATCAAGCTGGCCAGGAGGGTCCAACTAGTCTGACTCCGCCGTCCGGAGACTCCTCTCACACCCGAACTCCCCTAACGGACGACCCTGAACCCTGCCGTCCGTACTTGCCCACAAAGACCCTCCCCCTTCATCCTATCTCTGCTGTTGCCCCACAAAACGGTCTCAAAAGTTCTGTCAACCTGACCGGATCCCTCATCTCGAGGCGGCAATGAACCCGACCGCCTTTCTCAGGCCCCAGACAGCCAGGGGCCGGCATCCCTTTTCTCCTCTATCCCAGACTCTTCCACCTCTTTGGCCTCCGAGAACCCCAGCTTCAGTTCCCCGCTAGGGCCTGGATGCCCTACTCTCCGACAGTACGGTCTCTAGACCCCGGGTGAGCGCTCCACGCGGCTCCGGAACTCCTCTGGCGCCGTCTAGCCCCACTCGGGTAGAGGATGGCGTCGGATAGGGTGACCCGGATCGCCAGAGCCGGCAAACTTACCCCAGCCGCCATGGTGATTCCGCAGAGAAAGGGGGTGGGGCTCTCGGCGCTGCCGCAAAGTAAGCCGTCAGGGAGAGAAGGGAGGGGGGAGCGGGAGAGCTGTGGAGAAACAGAAGCTGGAAAGCGAGACGGCAAAGAAGGCATACGCACGACAGTTCGGCATCCCGCGGCGCTTGAATTGGAAAAAGGGGGTGGGGCCCGCTGGCCCGCGCGGAAAAAGCTCGCGCCTGCGCAGCGGGGCTCCCGACTGGCCCGCCCCTCAGGTATGACCAATCTTGAGTTCCGACGCGGAGGTAGAAGGCGCAGAGGAAGGGGAAACTGTGAGAACTGGCTGCAAAGCTCCTGGTGCCTACGTGGCACAGCTGCCAGCCTGGTGCCACTCTTCCATTCCGGTCCCCTGCGGTGACTGACGGAGGTCCCGCCAGGCCCCTGACATGATTGTGGCACAGGAACAGCAGCAGCTCCTGCGTGGAGGTGGCCGTGTGCCAGTCCTTTTGTTCCTGCCCCGGTTCTCCCGAAGAGGGGATGTGTATCTAACCAGAGCCGAAGTCGGAAGCCCGCTGTGTGAGGTTTGCTCTCATTGAACCACCGTGCTCGGGGATGCTCGGAGGGCGAGAAGGGCAGTCGTCCTAGAGCCTGCCACAGGGGAAATGCTAAGGGAGAACACAGCCGTACCCCTTCCACCTCCTGTCCTCCGGGAAGGGCTAACAATTTAAAACAAATTCTGAGGAGTTGCCCTTTACCCATGCTCGGGTCTTAAAATCTTTTACCCAGTTTAGGAACAGGAAGAATTCTCCTGATTAGAGAAGGATGCATGAAGAACCCTGAACCTAAATTTCAAACCATCACCATTCATAAATCCGGGCAGCAAGGTATATGTAAAGGCACTTAGTTCTTAGAGGTGGTGCTCAAGCCACCCAGACAGCACCTGTCATTCAAGAACACTACTCAATGGGCTCCAGGTGCCAGAGGCACACAGCCCTAGGCCTGTGGTGGTGATAAAGGACAGGAAGGCAGCAAATAGGCCAGGAGACCTATTTTAGGGTGGCCAGAGACTTCACCTCTGAGAGGGCTGCACTAAGGTGGGGAGGAAAGTACCGAATGCAAGGACTATTACCAGGTGGAAATTAGAGGACATTGTACTGTTTATTAAACTAGCAGCTTTATTGCCCTTTAAGGTCCCTATCTTAACTTAAGGAGATTTCTAAGTGCCTGAGGGAGGAAAACCTGTAGGAAATGATGGAGATCAGGGAAAAGGCCTTGAGAATCCTGGAGTGGGATCACAGTGAGAGTCTGGTCAGCCTGGGAGGCAGACACCACAAAAGTTAGAAGTGGCTCTGCCTCTGGCCTTTGTTCACCACTGCTCAGTCCTCTCAGCTCCTGGGTTACCCGTGCCTCAGTCGCCAGCCATTCTGCTCCTATGCCAGCACTGCCACCTCCTTCCTTGGTCTGCTGCTGCAAGCGTCTCCGGGCACGCCGCCGACCCTGCCACACTCGGTGCCCCAAGCTACAGCGCCAGCTCACTGAAGAGAGCAACATCCTGTTCCCTGTCTCGCCTTGAGACCCTTCTTGGGCTGCCTCAGGTCCTCTGGGCACCTGTTCTGCCAGTGCTGCATGGCCCCACTGCCTCTCTTCTCCGGTGGCTAGATGCCTTTGAGGTGTCATGGGCAGCTCCCCTGGCTGCCAAGGGCTCTGCACGGCCCAGTCCTGCACCATCTCTCCAGCTTCTATAACCATTTCTTCCACCCCTTCTTCACCGTGGTCCCCTGCACATCCTTGCTGCCCCTCCTCACAATTTTTTTTCTGTCCATCTAGTTTAAATCTCTTGCTCGTTCCTCCCTGGTGAGACTCCCCAGTTCCACCTCCCTCTGACCACAGTCTCTTGGTTCCCTGTACTATTTGGCACCCCAATGCTTCCCTTAACACTTGGACCAGGGCAGCAGTGAGCTGGGTAAAAGGAGCAGGGGGTAAGGGGATGGGTGTTGCAGACAGCAGAGAGCTGGGGGAGATGGGCTGCACAAGGGGAAGCAGCCCCCAGTCCCGACCCCGGGAGGAACGGTGCTGGTACTGGAGGCTTCGGCAGTAATTAGCTGCTGCTTGGCAGCAGTTCTGTAGCCGCCCGGCCACCCGGCTGGTCACATTGGCTGCCACATTGTGACTGAGATCAAAGGGGTCCTGGAGATTCATGGGGCCAAGGCGCAGACCCTCCCAGAGATTAGAGGGCAGGCCCCCTGCCACAGGCAGTGCCTGACCCTCCCGCAGGGACAGCAGTGAGCCACGAAGATCCCAACAAGAGATGCTGGAGAAGAACTGGGCGAGCAGGGAACCTGGAGGAGGAAGACCGGGGAAAGGGGTCACTCAGAGACCAGAACTGAGAAAGCCCTGCATCAGAGCCGTGCTTGGCAGGACTGACTCTCTTCCAATGACTCAGAAAAGTGCCAGGTGCCAGGCTCCTCTGATCCCTGTGAACAAGAGGTTGAGCCTCTCTCCCAGTGCCCCTGGCAGAGTCCTTCCCCAGATGCTGTTCCTTCCCTCGCTAGCAGTGTAACCACGGGCAAGCCACTTAACTGCTCCGAGGCATGGTTTCTTCATCTGTAAAATGGCATTAGTGATACTAGTTATGCCAAAAGGTTGCTGTTAAGTCCATGCCTGCCACAGAGTAACTGTGTGATGTGTTACCTACACTTGTGATTAACATCATTTGTTAGTCCTCTATCGGGCCCCCCAAACTCACTGAGGGGTTCCTTGTTGATACTGGGCTCCAGTCCTGAGGCATCTCTAGGGAAACTACAATCCCAGCCATCGACCTCCACCTGTTCACCCTCACCTGTGAAAATGAAAAAGGTGAGGGTTAGCCTGGAAGCAGAAAGACTGGGGATGGTGAGGGGTGGAAATGGGGGTGACAGCAGAGATCCCATTCCCAGATTAGCTTCTGTGTCTAAGTGGATGAAGAAGAGGAAAGAAGGTAACAAGAAAAAGAGGGTGGAAGCTGGTGGCTATACCTGCTTTCTGGGTGAGCTGGGATACAGTGGGCAACACAGGAGGGTCCCTGGTCTGAAGGAAATATATCACGAGCAAGGTCAAAGCGTAGTTATTGAGAAGGGGGCCGCTCCCTGTGTAAATAATCAATTCCAGTTAGATTAGAGTGCTTCCAATCCCCTCCTTGGCAGGTTTCTCAACCCTGCCTTCTGCGCCTGCCTCCCTTCTCCCCTGAATCCCTGCCTTTGCCTCAACACCAACCTAGCCCAAAGTCTGTCCTCTGATTCTCACCTGACAGCCCTCGACCCTGAGCCCAGCAGCGGACAGTGTACACGAGGGGTCGTACTCGCCCATCCAGGTCAGAACAGAGATTCAGGAAACGAGAGTTATGTAGGGCCAGCCTGGGACAGAGAGGAGTCAAGGGTGTTAGGGTTCAGGAACCCTCTGACCCCATCACCTCCAGCTCTCATTCCAGACCTCTGTAACGGGCACCAGCCGGAGTAAGGCCAGGAGAGGGTTTCCAAAGTGTTTGCTGACACACTGGTCTTGTGAAAGCATGCCCAAAAGCAGGTCAAATTTGTTTGGGAAACAATACATCCCATTATGCCAGTCCAGGACATTCATGGAGCATGTTACCATAAGACTGCTCAGAGCCTTTACTATGGGAAGCAACCAAAGATGGAGGGAGGGAGAAAGGGAGGAAAGAGGAGCAAGAAAAGGATGAAGTCTGTTTGCATTTAACTTAGCATTTCCCAAATTTACTCAGCCATGCAACTTTTCTAAATCCCTTAAAAATCGTATTCCAAGGATCACACTTTACAGTCACTAAAATGGCAGCCAGACAGAACATGAGCAGCAAAGAGAGGGATGGGACCAAACAAGGCTAACCTTGGGCTTACCAGGTACAGGGGCTCCCCACATCAGGACTCCCTCACCCACCCAAGAATGCTCAGCTGGCCTTCCCCAACAACCCCACTGTAAAGGTACCGGTTACTGAGGGAGACGTCACCGTGGAGACCTGAAGGCCGATGGCAGAACTTGACCACGGGGCGTCGGGCAGAGGGCACAGTTTGGACTCGGTACACTCCAGGGACACAGCCCCGAAGAATGGATCCCACCAGCTCCAGCATGGCTGCCCCCTCTGTTTTCTCTCCCTTCAGGGCCTCTGCTAGTTCCAGGGCCTTCCCTAAGTCCCCCTCTTCGCGGTCCTCCCGCAGTGGTGAGGCTGGAGGCAGGGACTGGGGAGAGGCAAGGGTCTCAGAAGCCAAAGCAGAGTCTGGAGTCTGGGGTGTCAGGGAGGAGGAAGGGACTTCAAAGTCCAGGGTTTCTGAGTCTTGGGGAGAAGCTGGAGGCTGTGAGTCCAGAGGGGAAGCTGGGGTGCAGGCCAGAGCTCGAGGATCCAGTGGAGATGCCAGGGCCGAGTCCAAAGATGGAGACTCTGGAGCCTTTGGGGCTGGCTGTGGAGGGAAACGAGCTGGGTGCGTGCTTCTCCTGCTGCCCCCTAACTGAGGAATATTCTGGAAGATATATTTGTTACTTACTGCTTATTATGTGCTAGGCCCTACTCTAAGGGCTTTATATATATTAACTCATGGGATACAGTGGGCAACACAGGAGGGTCCCTGGTCTGAAGGAAATATATCACGAGCAAGGTCAAAGCGTAGTTATTGAGAAGGGGGCCGCTCCCTGTGTAAATAATCAATTCCAGTTAGATTAGAGTGCTTCCAATCCCCTCCTTGGCAGGTTTCTCAACCCTGCCTTCTGCGCCTGCCTCCCTTCTCCCCTGAATCCCTGCCTTTGCCTCAACACCAACCTAGCCCAAAGTCTGTCCTCTGATTCTCACCTGACAGCCCTCGACCCTGAGCCCAGCAGCGGACAGTGTACACGAGGGGTCGTACTCGCCCATCCAGGTCAGAACAGAGATTCAGGAAACGAGAGTTATGTAGGGCCAGCCTGGGACAGAGAGGAGTCAAGGGTGTTAGGGTTCAGGAACCCTCTGACCCCATCACCTCCAGCTCTCATTCCAGACCTCTGTAACGGGCACCAGCCGGAGTAAGGCCAGGAGAGGGTTTCCAAAGTGTTTGCTGACACACTGGTCTTGTGAAAGCATGCCCAAAAGCAGGTCAAATTTGTTTGGGAAACAATACATCCCATTATGCCAGTCCAGGACATTCATGGAGCATGTTACCATAAGACTGCTCAGAGCCTTTACTATGGGAAGCAACCAAAGATGGAGGGAGGGAGAAAGGGAGGAAAGAGGAGCAAGAAAAGGATGAAGTCTGTTTGCATTTAACTTAGCATTTCCCAAATTTACTCAGCCATGCAACTTTTCTAAATCCCTTAAAAATCGTATTCCAAGGATCACACTTTACAGTCACTAAAATGGCAGCCAGACAGAACATGAGCAGCAAAGAGAGGGATGGGACCAAACAAGGCTAACCTTGGGCTTACCAGGTACAGGGGCTCCCCACATCAGGACTCCCTCACCCACCCAAGAATGCTCAGCTGGCCTTCCCCAACAACCCCACTGTAAAGGTACCGGTTACTGAGGGAGACGTCACCGTGGAGACCTGAAGGCCGATGGCAGAACTTGACCACGGGGCGTCGGGCAGAGGGCACAGTTTGGACTCGGTACACTCCAGGGACACAGCCCCGAAGAATGGATCCCACCAGCTCCAGCATGGCTGCCCCCTCTGTTTTCTCTCCCTTCAGGGCCTCTGCTAGTTCCAGGGCCTTCCCTAAGTCCCCCTCTTCGCGGTCCTCCCGCAGTGGTGAGGCTGGAGGCAGGGACTGGGGAGAGGCAAGGGTCTCAGAAGCCAAAGCAGAGTCTGGAGTCTGGGGTGTCAGGGAGGAGGAAGGGACTTCAAAGTCCAGGGTTTCTGAGTCTTGGGGAGAAGCTGGAGGCTGTGAGTCCAGAGGGGAAGCTGGGGTGCAGGCCAGAGCTCGAGGATCCAGTGGAGATGCCAGGGCCGAGTCCAAAGATGGAGACTCTGGAGCCTTTGGGGCTGGCTGTGGAGGGAAACGAGCTGGGTGCGTGCTTCTCCTGCTGCCCCCTAACTGAGGAATATTCTGGAAGATATATTTGTTACTTACTGCTTATTATGTGCTAGGCCCTACTCTAAGGGCTTTATATATATTAACTCAGTTAAGTCTCACAACCCTTTTTTAAAATAAAAAATAACCTTTTGATGCCACAAAACAAATGGTCTATTCTACAAAAATGTCATTGTTGTGAAAGACAACAAAAAGACAGAGGAACTGTTCCAGATTAAAGAAGACCAAAGAGACATCACAAGTCTGTTGTTAAGGTAGCTGACAAAACTAGATTAAAGTCTTGTGAAGGTTTATACTTGTATCAGTGTAATATTTCCTCAGCTTGATAGGCATACTGTGGTTATCACTAGAATACCTTTGTTCTAGGTAATACTGGAGTATTAAGGGGCAAAAAAGCATGATGTATGCAACCTACTCTCAAATGACTCAGAAAATTAAGTGTGTGTGTGTGTGTGTGTGTGTGTGTGTGTGAGTATAGACAGACAGATGACAGAAGAAATTTTATTTTAATAATAACACCTTCTGGAACAAAACAACAGCAGATTCACAGACTCCAAGAAGGGACTAGTGGTTACCAAAGAGGAAGGGTTGGGGAGGGTGGGTGGGGAGGGAGAAGGGAATTAAGGGGCACTATAATTCACAATCACAATGTAGGTATGTCACGGGGAAGGCAGCACAGCATGGAGAATGACTCTATAGTACTGACTCTATAGCATCTTACTATGCTGATAGACAGTGCCTGCAATGGGGGGGATGAAGACTTGATAATATGGGTGAATGTTGAAACCACAATGTTGTTCATGGGAGACCTTCCTAAGATTGTATACCAATGACACTTTAATAAAATAATAATAATAACAACCCCTTCTGTGGGGCAGGGGGCATATGGGAACTCTGTACTTTCCACTCTATTATGCTATAACCTAAAACTGCTCTAAAAATAAAGTCTTTAAAAAAAAATTACCCTTTCCTATTCCAAAAGCAGAATCTGTACATTAAATGTAAGAAAACACAGATAAGCAAGAACATAACCCAAAAATTACCTTACTGTAAGTTCCTTTATATATATATTCTAAAATATTATACACACCATTTTTAAATGTTTTTTTTTCCTGTTACAAATGCCCTCTGTCCCACATCAATTCATTTTCATCCTAATACCCATCCACAGTCACACTTTCTCCACTTACAGTAATCCTTTCAGGCAGGTCCCATTAGCCCCATCTTACAATCAGGAACTACGGCATAAGCGGTAACTGGCTTGCCCAGAGTCACACAACCGTCCCCACTGACTCTTCCCAGCTTCCTCCCTGCTCACTCACCTGGGGCTCTTCCAGATCACCCAGGTCCAAGAAAAGATCAAGATCACAGCCATGGACATCAAAGCTGTTTATGGAAGAGCCGAAAGGATGGACCACACAGCCTGTGTGCCAAGCAGAGAACAGAGGTCGAGAGACGTTGGGGAGGGGCAAGGGGTGAATACAATGGGACACAAAGATGGAAGAGCAACCTAACCAACCCTCCTAGCTGAGGGAGGACTGGGGCTGCCGACGCGGCAGAGGAGAGGGCAAGGAGGGCTCGCAGTGAGGGAGGTGACTCACCAGGGAAGAACTCTGTGAAGACCTCCTGTATCAGGGCCACCACGAGGCTTCGAAGCTGCCGCTCAGCCTCAGACAACTCCCTCAGTCCCACAAGCTTTACCATTTGTGCCTCCACATCTGGGGCCTCAGCTAATGCTTTGGCCAGCTGGTGACTGTCAGGGGCCGCTCCCTTGGGGGATTTGGAGGTCGGCCTCTGGAACTCTTTCTGCTCCCGTGGCCGCACCCGCAGGCGATGTCCTCCCAGGCTGTGCTGAGGCTGTGACAAGACAGCTTCCCGGGCACTCATGTCCCCCATCTCCACAATGGCAAACACTCCCTGGCAAACCACAACAGGGACAGGCATGATGATTTTGGAACCAAGAATCCAAATACATGGTCTGACAGTGGGTGAGAATCTTTGAAATGGGAATCACTCTAAAAATTGGGAATATCTGTGGTGGGGGGCATGGGGAGGGCTGTACAACACAGAGAAGATGAGTAGGGATTCTGCAGTATCTTACTACACTGATGGACAGTGACTGTAATGGGGTTTGTGGGGGGGGACTTGGTGAAGGGGGGAGCCTAGTAAACATACTGTTCTTCGTGTAATTGTAGATTACTGATACCAAAATTAAAATATAAAAAATAAAAATAAAAATAATAAAAAAATTGGGAATATCTGCTTCATGTTAAAGCCATTCTTTCCCTCATTCCTAATCCACACAGTCTGCCTCTGAAAATCTCATTTTACCTATTTCATTGTCCTCTACTCTTTATACCACAACCCATCTAACATTTCCTAGTTCAATTAGACTCTTCTTACCACTATGAATCCATGTAATGAACTTGTGCTGGGTGTAAATATAACCATGTAAGCCCTACCTTCGACAAACTGACCATCTGGGAAATTACATAGTATGACAGAGTGCCAATAGGATCTGGTTGAATTCAGTGATATTCACTGGGCCATGTTTTTTTCAAAAGGAATGTATTAACAGGAGCAGGAAAAATATGATTACCATAAGGCAAAAGTTCCTATTCTTTCATATTCTCTCCGTGGAAAAGCCAGAGCCTCGTCCTGCTTAGAAAAAGGAACCCTCTACAGTAATCAAAACAATGTGACGCCGGCATAAAGAAGGGAAAGGAATCGAGACTTTAGAAACAAACCCAAACATCTACAGTCAACCGAAGTGCCGAGACCATTCAATGGGAAATGGACACTCTTCTCAACAACTGGGTAGCCACATGCAAAAGAGTGATGCTGGACCTCTCCCTCATGCCACATACAAAAGTCAACTGGAGGACAGGCTCACCAGCACACAGGCCTCAATCACAGGTGGGGAATGACCGATAATGGGTAGGCAAATTCTTTTAAGATAATTAAAACATCCTGGAATTAAATAGCAGTGATGGTTGCAGAACCTCACAAAATACTAATAACCACTGAATGTAGTCTCAGTGTAACTTTAACAGGGGGAATCTTATGCTATGTAAGTCATATCTCAACTGAAAATGAAAGAGGGGTACCCTTCCTACCGTCACTTCTACCCTTATGACAAACAGAGCAAAGAACCAAAGTAAAACCATGGACAAAGACAGACACTTGGACCTGCACAGGTCAATCTTCTGCCTGAGGAAGATCACTAACTCTAGTGAACAGATAAAATCCAAGCAGGGGCCAAGGTGGGGTGGAGGGGAGGTTCACAAAGCTGGAATAATCCAGGTACTGTGGTGTCCAGCAAAGAGAAGCCACATTAGGTACCAACCCAAAGAGGCTGCTGGTTTCTCTCTCTCATTTCTTTCGGTATTTGGCACACCTGACTCATTCTTCACCCCCAGAGCCATTCGCTCTACCTTGTCCTTGTCCATGACCACACTGGCCACAGGTCCAAACACCTGGAAGTACTCAGAAAGCTGAGTAGAATCCACATCCCGGGGAAAGCCACTAACAAACACACTTCGAAGCCCCTGGGCCTTTCGAGCAGCTCTCAGTTCTACCAGGTGTTGGTGCTTCCGGCCTCCCAAGTGGGCATCTAAGCTGGGTCCTGCAAAGACAAATATGAAACAAAAACATCCAAATCACTCTTCACTGTTCCTACCCCTTCCTCTCATCCTGGCCCCTTTCACCTTCCTCTCAACTATTTGTCTATATAGAGCATTCTTTCCAAGTGGTTCCCAGGAGAATTGGCCACATTACAAGATTTCTGTAAACCATCTATAAGTCCTAGGTAGAGAGCAACAACTGAAAACTGTAAAGAAATTCACAGGGAACTTTTTCAGGTCATATAAAGAACTAAATAAATCAGGACTCCAGACTATTTCCTATGATCATCTCTGAGTATGGTATAGACTGCAAGTGCAAGACCTCAAGTTACACTGACCAAGTTTAAATCTTAGCTCTGGCAAGCTGTGTGAGACCTTGGGAAATTTACTTAACCTTTCTGTGCATCAGTTTCCTCAGATATAAAATGGAAATAATAATAGTACCTTCCACATTGGTATTATTCCTATGGAGCATTTGGCAGAGAGTATATGGCAAATGTGGGAAAAGGTAGCTGCTATTTTATTTTTATTGCATTTTGAACCAGCTTCTTGATGTCACCAGTGTGTATGTGGAGCCAGGGAACACTATCCTGGATTTGTGGGTTACCCTACTGGACAAATAGTGTCAGTGCCATATTCACTAAGAAAAAGAACGAAAGACCCCGTTCAGGGAAGACCATGATTCCAGACTTCAAAAGTGGAATTTAAAGTGTCACTAAGCCTCTTGCACTGTGATACAAGGGCCTCATCTACTTTTCCAAACCCACTTTCCAGTCAATGCCATGGCCCTACCTTTTGGTAGCTCCTCCTGTAGGGCTCCCCTTTAATCACTACCTTTTCTGTAACCCCACAGCTTCGCAAACATATCTAGAACAATGAAACTGTCCCCAACTCTAGATGGTGAGCTCCTTCATCTCTGATCCCCTCTCTCAACCCTAGAGCCCAGCAGAGTACCAGGCACAAAGGGGATGCCCAATATACGACGGCCAAAGAGGGAATAAAATAATGAAACTTCCGTCATGGAAATTTCGGATACTGGAGGTAAGGTAGTGAGGCTGTCCCCACTCTGGAATCCCTTCGGATAGGCGGAGTGAAAACCGAGGTGAGTGACCCTACCAACCGACGTGACAACCATAACCTAAACCCTACCTTTCACTAGGACCCAAGGAAGAAAACCCGCAACCACCCCTCTCATAGCCACCGCTTACGGTTGGCTGTAGTAACGTGGCAGAGGCGGCAGCGGAAACCCCTACGCTGCAGCGGTTCGACATCCGAATCCACCGCCGCCATTGCGACTCTTCAGGACGGACAAAACACTACCGCTTGTCACCACCGGAACTCCTACAAATAGCAACGCGATCGGAAGCAACTTCCGCTAGTCCAATAGGAAGTGACGTATAATAGGCATGGGCACACTCCTGCAGAAACCAAGCTCCTTCGACTCAGGGTTCCGTTTCCAGCCTGTGCTGTCTCCAAAGCCGTCCTACTACGGTGTTTATCTGCATGCGGTAAGCTGATTGGTATGCTCTGAGCTGTTCAGGCGTTGATTGACCCAAAGATCGTGAATATTCATAACAGCAGCCACAAAGGCTGGCGCCGGGTTCACAGCCTGAGCTTTTCTCCCTGAGTGGTCCCGGGTGGTGTCTTCCTTCCTTCGAGGGGCGATAGAAACTCTCGCGCCTGTATCTTCAACCTCGTATTTTCCTGACTAATAAAGGCAGAGGATAAGCAGCCTCCACGTAGCCCAGGGCCGTCCCTGGACTTCCAACTCCTTAGGGTTGTTACGCTCTCCCTCTGCCCTGGGTCCTCCCCCAAAATGGGTGTTCTGCGACCGTTTCCTAGCTCTGGTTGAGGAGCTCTGCCCCGACCGTGCACCTTCCTGCCTCCACGGGGCCACATCCAGACCACTGCGGTCCCGGTGAGTTACGATTTCCTTCCGCAATAATGGGCTGCGTGGAGCACTCACGAGGCGCCAAAGCCACCCGCCCACTTCAAGGCATGCAATGGAGAGGGAAGGTAGTGCTTTTCCCTAGACTGGTTTACTCGTCAGTTCCTCCCAACTCTACTGAGGGTGAGCTCAGAACCGGAAGAGTAAAGATGCTGGGGAGGCCCTAGAAAGAGATCGTGGGATGGAGAGGACTATCAGATGGGCTAAGTAGCTCTTGCTGTGGTTATCAACCCATAGCTTTGGATTGTAGAAAGAGCAGTGGACCTGAGGCAGACATCTCAACCTCCGAAACCTTGAGCAACTGGCAACTGCTGAGGCTGTTCCCCATTCCTAAAGGAAGTGCCCAAGAAGCACATAGTAGGCTTAACTTTTCTCTCCTATGGGTCCAGCTGTCTCCCAAACCTAAGAAGGCAGTAAAAACAGCACTAGAGCTGCTCCAATATCAAGTTGCTGAGACTGGCCTTGGGGATCCTTGATGCCAGTCTATGCAAACACACCACACAGCTAGGTGGTAAACTTCCTCCCTGCAGTATCTCCCTGTAGGTAGGCTACATCTTGCCCTGGTCTCTCACAATTCCCCAGATTCCATAAAAAGCACCTCATGCCCCGCCCCCCTCCAATGGAGGCCCCAGCCATCCAGAGAACCAGTTCATCCCAAGTGCTTTGAATGAGTATGTGCCAAGATGGAGCTTGGGTACAGTTTGGGTCCTACAAGAAAGCTAGCTGAATAGCCTGCCTTCAAGGCTGCATATCTCATAAAGCTGTTCCCAGCTTTATGTACCTCTTTTACTGTCCTTTGTCCTTTATTTTCCCAATTGAAGACACCACCCACGCACCCCCTCACCCACATCCATGGCAGAGAACAACTAAGCCAAGAGGAGCTGAAGAAAACAGCTTTTTATTTGTTACTATAAGAACCAATTACAGAATCCGAGGTTAAAAAAACGGACAAAAGATCTTTATTTCTGAGAACTGGCGTACAAAAGGCAAAGGGGACAAGGGGAGGGAAGGAAAGAGAGCATAGGCTGGGGTTGATGCCAGCTTAGGGGCCTCAAACTCCAATTAGGCAAGTCCGGACACCGGACAGGAAGAGAAACCCCCCTATTAGAAAAAAAAAAATAGACATGACAGTCACTGCAGTGCACACCCCCCCTCCCCAACCAGATGCCACCACCTCTTCCCCTCCCCCATCCCCTTTCACAAAGGGAGGCAAAATTTTAAAAAAATTAAAAAACCCTCTCCCCAAAACTGTCCAAGACAACTGTGGGACCTACTCCCCAAAACAGGCTAAGTTCCCACAATGGGCCACGTTCCTTCAGTGTTCCCTCCATCACCAGGCACGGAGAAGCAGGGGACAGACAAGCCTTCAAGTGGTAACACCAGAGGGCGCCCAACCTCTCCAAGGACACACTCAGTAGCTTCCTCCCCACCAGTCAAGTCACTCCTCATTCCCTTTGCTACTTGAAGGCAGGGAGGTTGGTAGCCCTGGGCCCATACCCTCTAGCTTTCAGCCCACCTCCCCGACAGATGCTCAGTCCTCCAGGACAATGGGCTCATTGGTGCTGGCAGGATGTGAGGGTGCAGAGAGAGGGACGGAGGGCCGCACTGCAATCAGTGGTGGCTTCACCTTCAGGGGCAGGTTGGGCCGGCGTGCAGCTCGCCGCATTTCCACATGGGTCAGAGCCTTCCGCAGGGCCCTGGACAGAAAGGGGCAAGAGGGACAGAGAAGGCTAAGACCCTTGAGGAGAAACCCCACAGTCCATGCTGCAGTTCTGCCTCCAGCCCATTCTTTTCTGGCATCCCCACCCTGCACCCAGTCTTCCTGGAGCTGGTCTTTCTCAGATACCCACCAATTTTCCATACCCACCAGTCTGGGTTGTCAACCTCTCAGCTCCCTACCTGGTATCTTTTGTGGCCACAAACACCACGGGATTGGGGGCATCAGCTGGGTTTAGTTTCTGACGCTTGGCTGCTGGCTGTGAGCCTGAGCGAATCCCTGAGGCCAGAGGCCTTCCATTGGCAGAGAATGGGACCCCTGCCCCTGCCATCTGGAAAAGGGTGGGGCAGCACAATGAGAGGGGCTCCCACAGACTCCTACCAGAAATAAAAGCCCATCCCTAGCAGCTTGGCCTGCTCCAGTCTGTCAACTCACAGTCTCATAGGCCCGTTTCACCATAATGCCTCCCAGGCCCCGGTTCTGGGTCAGCTGGTTTCTGTTGATTGGTGTCTTGGTACCCCGAGGTGTTTTTGGTTTCAGAGGTGCCTGGGCCACTGCCAGAAAAAAAAGTAAAAGAAAATTCAGAGAACTGTCATACTTTCCCATCTCCACGCAGTCTCCCTGGACATCCCTGAAAATAGTGATGGAGAGAGGTTCGGCTTGGTGAGCAATTGCCAGTCTTTAAAAAGCACACAAGTGTGATCTTACCAATACAGTAATACTGAATAGCTTAGGAACAAACATGACTAACCTACAATAGTACAGGTTGTTAATCTTTGGACTCAGTGGGAGAGAAAAAAAAGTTGGGGGAGAGAACAGTCTTGATAGTGAAAGGACTGAGAGCCTGGCACCACCACACTGGCTCCCCACCCACACTCACTCTATATCCACAGTCTGGTTCCCCATCCCATACCCAGATCTTTGACGATAGTTGCCAGGGGCAGCCGCACCAGAGGGTGAATCTTCAGTGGAGTCTTGGCAGCCTTAGGAAGTCGAATGGAGCCTGGAGAATGAAAATGGAAGTTTTTGAAGGGGCTTCACTGTTCAGGCCTCTTCTTGAGCCAGAAGCTTCCTAATCTCCTAACAAACCCCTGTAGCCTACTATCCCTACTTTCATTAAACATCCAGAGAAACACTCATCTCTGGCCAAAACAACCCCAAACCTGCCACTAGCCCCACCACTCCTGCCCTTACACTCTGCCTTGATGGCATTTGCATTGATAGGGGCATAGGGTCGTCGGGCAGCCCTCCTCGGCTGTAACAGATCCCTGCACATGCGTCTGGCAAGACGGGTCAGCTTTGTGGTCTGCAGCAGGAATGTTTGCCTGTTTTTAGCCAGCAGCTTGGCCCGGTTGGCGCTGGTTGTATAGGGGGAAAGACTTTGGGCTTCAGGTCTGGATAAATGACCCCTCGAGTGTGGCTCCTGGAAGGACAAAGGAAAAAGGGAGATCACAGATGGGCACTGAAGCTCCCTTCTATTTTCTATTCTCTGCAGAGAACAATTTATTCCTGTCCAGTCTCCATTGCCATCATGACCTGATTCCCCAGCCTCTATCTACCACCACCTCCCATGCACACACACACACACACATCAAACCATCACCATAGAAGATGAGTATTCTAGACTTCACAAAGCTCCTGTCAACATTGCCTACAGCTCTCCTCCATTTGTGCCCTATCAGTCCTTACTGTTGTGCCCCGAGCAGCCCCCTCAAGCTGGGTGGGGGTCTTCAGTCCCCCATACTTCTTCCAGTAGATCCAACAGGAAGCACAGAGGCGGCACTGCATATTGGGGGGACCCCAGGCATACCACTGGGCAGACTGTGTGGCTGTAGAAGCAGGGAGAGGAGGCGAGGGAGTGGTGGAAAAAAGCATGCCACCTGAGCCCCTCAGGCTCTTGGGCCAGAGCAGACCTCTCACGCACCCTCAACACCCTTGTCCCTCGTGGAACTCACTGTGGCAGCTCTCGCAAGTCAAGCCCTTCTGGAATCCAGCCCCATTCATACCAGGTTTCGAGCCCACAGAGATGATCTGATTGGGGTTTGGCTTAGTGCTAATGGGGACAACAGTAGGGAGAAACCAGGAACTGGTCAAGGGAAAGAATTCATTTCCACTTTGTCTTTGCCCCTGCCCGCCCCCCCCCCACCCCCCAATCACTAAGGAAAGCACAGCCTGGGGGAAGAAAAGGAAAACATGGCAGTCTGCTCACCCATCATACTTACTAGGTGGGGATATAGACTTGTTTCAGTTTGCTGTCTGCTTCAGCAGCTTTCAATCTTTTCTGCAGGAAGGAAAAAAAGAGAGCATTTCAGCAGGAGGAAGTTGTCAACTTCAAAGGCAGGGGTGGGCAGGTCTCTGAGCCAGCCTCCCTGGCCCAGACCATACCTGCTGAATATAGCGGTCTGTGGTTTTCCACATGTAATAAAACTGGACTATGCTGGCAAGTGACTTCCAGGGTAGCTAAGGAGGCAGAGAGGAAGGATGAGCTGACATTGGCCCCAGGTCCTGGTTCCCTCACCTACCGTCTCTTCCACCTTTCCTCCTAGCCCTGTCCACTTACAAAGTCCTGACGAATATCATTGAAATCCTTCCCATACTTCTCCAGGGCCTCCTCAAATAGCATGGCCTCCGAGGCAGACCATTCTTCCATCTCATCCCGACACAGCACCGGGCCCCCCTGGGGCACCAGGGTGGACATGGCT